TATATATATATATATATATATATATATATATATATATATATATAAACTTTTTTATAGATAAAAAGTTCTTAAATTTTTATTATTTTCGTAATTAAAGCAAAATTTAATTTTATTTACAATTATTTTTATTTATTTTCAAAAACATATGTTTATTTTAATTTTCCTATTATCATAGATATATTTTTGAATAATTAAAGATAAAACCAGGATTACTTACATTTATTTTAAACTACTATTATTTACATTTATTATAAACTACTGTTGTACTCGTAGCCTTATATAATTATCAAATAAAAATTTTAATTTTACTCGTTTTGTGATAGAAATATGATTAAAAGTTTAATTAATTTGATTAAATTTTATTTATTTGTTATAAATAAATAATAAATTAATTTGTCATAAATGTTACTTCATTTATTTATTGAACTAACTTTTAATTATTCAACGATGAATATAAATAGTTTATTTAATAAAATAATATACTGAATATACTCTCAAATACTGATAAATATATGCACATACGTTTTGCATTGTCTTCTGTTTAAACGCCGTTCAAACTTTTTAATTAGCCAAAAATGGGCGTTCAGAATGAACGTCGTTTAACTGACTTGAACTTATACAAAAAACTTGGTGGAACGCAAAATGTCATTAATCGGAATTTAAACTTGGTTAAAATTTTGAACTACATTGGAAGAAGCAGGCATTAATATATATGCTATATATATTGTCACAGAACATTTACTGAGAGAAATGAAAGCTCTGTATATAAGATGGGCAACAAAAAATGAGATACCATCTGATGGTGGAATGCAAACTAAAATAAATTGTAGGATTTTGTCTCATATATACATGTAATCTTTTTAATATCGAAATTTGAAATAGATATTAAATTATAATTAGATAATTAAATAGGTATGTAAAATTAATAAAGATAAAAATAAACACTATATACAAAATAGATATATTTATTACCAAATAAACTGCACAAATACAATATATTTGCACCAATATTTACATGTATCCATGAATAGAGATATCATGCTTCATATACTTATCACAAAATATGCATCACAATAATATCATAGAAATTATCTTATATACTGTATGTTGTATTATATATTAACATATTACTTGTTTATATATTAACATATTGACAATAGTTGTATGTAGTTGAGCCCCTCATACATTGGATGTTCCATGTAATTCCATATTTGTAAGTTCCATAGTGTATGTTCTGGAAAATACGTTCTGGAAAAATAAAATATAAAAAATTACACAAGATTTTGTCGATTACAATATATAAATTTATAAATTTAATTATATCTTTTGCTTATATTTGCAGACACACATTCCGTGTTCAATAATCCAGTATTGCTGGATCAGCGAAATAATCTGAAATAAAATTTATATTAGTATAAATAACTTTTCTTTCTTTAAATTCTGTTTAAAAAATTATTAATTTCTTTCGTCTCGACGATTATAAAGAATAAAAAATGTAAATTTATGTTGAAGTTATATTGCCATAAAGACTTGAAAATTTGAATACAAATTAGTAATATTAATATTAATATGTAATAAATAATATTAATATGTAATAGTAATATTAATATGCAATAAATAATATTAATATGTAATAATAATATTAATATGTAATAACTATGATAAATTAGATCAATTTGTTGTATTGTTTATTAAATTAATTAATTGTTACGTTTATTGCTATTGTTTATTAAATTAATTAATTGCAATTAATTAATTGCTTATTACTGGTTGACCAACTATTTAATTTTACATAAAATATTTATAAAAGTTGCTGATGGAACGATCAGAACTTCTGCGGTGAAGTCAGTGCCATGGCGTTTTCTGATTGGTTACGTTAACCCCCACTTTCGAGTGTCTCCGTCTTTTCCGTGTTGTAGGAAACCATATTAGTTTCACTCCCGTGTATACTGTATCTCTGGTCTTTACCGATTGAACTTGAACACGGTGAAACGTGGTATCGTTTATCAAAATGCAAGTGCCACCCATTTTCATGGAATTGCCCTTAGATGACCAGGTAAATTTGTAAAATTTAAATTTAAATGATAGGTCGTCTATTTTTCTAAAAATATACTTTCTGGCATATACATACGTATAAAAAATCTTCGAAATATCTCGTAATATTAAGTTTTTTCTGAATGTATATATATATTAGAAACATTTTAAAACATATTTTGATTAAGCAACAATAATTAGGAAAGTATATAGTAATTCTTAAATATTAGGCGCAGGAACTCAGAGTATATTTTAAAAGCCTTGGTGCAGAAATTAGCGAAGAGAAATCTCCCAAAGGTATAGAAGATGATTTGCACAAGATTATCGGCGTATGTGAAGCGTGTTTCAAAGAAGGAAATGAAAGTGAAATAGAAACTGTGTTGAATGACATCGTATCTATCATGATTTTGGCAAGTTTAGAATTTTTAATATTTTTATTATTACTATAGATATCAACTAAATAATTTTATTGTATAATATTTTATTTTAGATTCCTACAGAACGTGCTGAAAATTTAATTTTGGCATTCTGTGAAAAACTTGTAAAAGCACCTGGTTATAAGCTTGGATTAGTTTGCTTAAAAGCGTAATATGTTAACTTTCATAAAATCATTATAATATTATAATCATTATAATATTATATATTTTTTTAATATTAACAAACAATATTTGTTTACAGTTTATGGCTATTATTCCAATCTCTTGCTGATGATTCTCCAATGAGATATCATGTTTATTACCATTTGGTACAAATAGCTCGCAATGTTGATCAAGTAAAAGCTGTGTACAGTGGAATAGATCAATTAAAGCAACAATTTGCTTCCTTTCCTCCATCGAATGAACAAATGCAAAAATTATTGCGTCTGTTACATGAAGTTCTTTTGAACTGCAAACAGGGGTAATGTCTTATGTTTTTTTCATCTTTGTTTTTCTTTTTGCAGATGGCCATGTGCATTTTTTTTAGCAATATTAAATAATATTAAGATATGTCTAATAGTTTATATAAAATGAAACAAATCTAATATATATATATGAAATTAAGATAAAACATTTTTATATACAGAATTATTTTTGTACATAGAAATAATTTTAAGTACGAGTATTTTTTTCTCCTAGATATATTCTCTATATAATATTTGTATAAAAAAATGTTTTAGAGAGCAAGCAGCAGCTGTTATGGTGGAGTTATTGGGAACTTATACAGCAGAAAATGCTTCCGCGGCTAGAGAAGATGCCCAACGTTGTATATTAGCTGCGTTAGCGGATCCAAATACATTTTTGTTAGATCCACTTTTAGCTTTGAAACCTGTGAGATTTTTGGAGGGTGAATTGATACATGATTTACTTCTTGTATTTGTGCAAGATAAATTACCAGCGTATTTACACTTCTATCAACATCATAGAGAATTTGTTGAGCATCAACTTGGTACATATCTAATCTAACATAAATAATGTAAAATACCGACTTTATTTGAACAAAAAAGATTTGTCATATTTTCTTTTTTATTTACAGGATTAAATCATGAGCAAAATATGAAAAAGATGAGATTACTGACATTTATGCAACTTGCAGAAACAAATCCAGAAATGTCTTTTGATACAATACAAGAAGAATTGCAGATTGGTGAATCTGAAGTAGAAAGCTTCATAATTGATGGTACGTTTTTACTTTTTAAAATCTTTTATTTGCAATAAATGACGAATTAACGCCCTGTACGAACAATATAGTTTTCATTATTGGTCATTTTAGTGGAAACTAGTTTTTAACAGGGTATATTAAGTGAATCGGTACTGACTTGATAAAGGTATATTTTTATCAAGTTATCGAGATATTCGACATAATTTTAATATTTGAGAACAGATTCGTATAAAAAAACGTGAAATACTATGACAGCATATAATATTCTCACGAGATACTCAAGTGATATCGTTTTAATCATCATCTATTTTAGTTTTGAAAACTAAGCTTGTGAGAGCACGTATGGATCAGGCCGGCCGTAAAGTATTAATTTCGAGCACAATGCATAGAACATTTGGTCGTCCACAATGGATGCAATTGCGAGATTTACTCGTATCGTGGAAAGCTAATCTCTCGGCTGTGCAGGATGGTATGAAAACCGTAGCTGCTGCACAAATGGAACTTGCAGTAAAGAACAAAGCTACTCTTGCTCACTGACAGTATCAAAGTTACATAAATATACGCAATTATTCATTAGTGTAGAGAGTAAGTAAAAGTTTTTCCCGGATATAATGGAAATTTACAAACCTAGCTAATAAATGAGTAAAGTAACTAAAGATTCATGGTAATCATGTACTACAATATTATACTTGTATAGCACAGAGCTATCAAGAGAAAATTTTACAAAAGTTTAAATATGATTCGTTAATATTAACCCCTTTGTATCATTAAATTATTTTTATGAAATAAATTTAAATTTATCACAATATATGAAATCTATTAAAAAATTGAATCAAAATGATTAATGTTGCCAGTTTTGTCTATTTTCATGCTATATTTATGTCCATACGTGCACATATCGCGGAGGCTTGTGTACACATTTATAGCATATTGGAATATATGCCTAATAATTAGATATTACATATTTTGTAAGGAATATACAAATTGGTATTAGAGCTCTCTCGAGTAGTCACCGTGGCTATATTGGAATCATGACATCAGAGACGAGAAATGACAGTAATATTTATTGCACCTAATTTGCAAAGAGATATTTGACTAAAAAAAGCACTTGAGACGGCTTTAAGATTTACTTCGGAAAATGGATGGCTGCTATTCTTTCCTTCCTGATAGTCAATTAATTGTAAAAGGCATATGAAATGAAGCCTGTTCAGATAGAACACGATTCAAGCTGTTGAAGGAAGTGAAAACTATATTTTTATATATAAAATTCAAAGGTAACTTTAGCTGCCATCCATTTTTACGAATTTGGTAAGTACGAAACAAGTCACATTTGCACGATTAAGCATAATGAAATTAGTCGGTCCACAATAAGTATTTAATTTTTAAACCGTAAGAAATTGACCAATCATAGTCGATTATTCTTTTCATATTCAATTATAATTGGTCAATTTCTTATTTCTTAAAGCTTAAATCTTAAATCACCTATCGTGGACACTAAGGTACAATAAAAAATGTTATCAGATCACTTATATAAAGATAAACAAGGCTAAGATGAATAAGGATGACAGCTTTTAATTTTTACCGCGACGTTGTGTAACTATTGTCAAGACAGAGTTCTTAGTCGATTTCCATTCACTACATTATACCAGGTCAGTGCACATTAAAGATTGCTACATAATGAAATATCTAAATGTAGTAGCATAATCACTTCCTTAATAATGAAATTATTAATTCATCTTCAGCTAAATAATGACAAATTCATTGGTGACTATTTATATAAGCATTTTGAAGTGTTTATGTATTTTTACATTTCAATAATTTCATTGTATATCAGCATTTAGTATGCATTAACTCAGTGTAATGCAGTGAATGGAATTCGCTATTAGTTGAATGATCGGGAATCTTAAACATTGCATACATATGTTGAAAGAAAAGTCAGGAAATATATTTTTAAGTTTCATATAACTGTAGTAATATTTTTATAGATATCTCGTGTGATGTGAGTAAATTTAAATCAACACTATATCTTTGAAGATTAACAGATTTGATAACAATAATAAAACGAGATATTTCATTTTTATCAAAAGCAGAAATCGCATATAATTATATCCAGTCCATTATATATTTATAGAAAACTTTATTTTTTCTCACACATTGCAATAATAATTATTCAATCAGTATATTAAATAAATTGCGAAAATATTAAAGTTATTAAAGTTATTTGATAATAAAATATGCGATATTATAAGAAACATATGATAATGATATGCTTTAGATTTTAATTTTTGTATAAAAAAATTATGATTTTTTTTAAACTTTCTTATACGTATATTGACACATGCGTTTGTCTCTATCACATTAATTATGTAATCTTTTTTGTAAAGTATCTCTCTCTCTCACACACACACACACACACACACACACACACACACACACACACACACATT